GAGCTCCATCTAAAATAGCGGGAAGCTTCAAGACTGGTCGATGAGTCAGCAGCGCAGAACGCCGTAGTCCAGTAGACCTAGTCACAAATCAATTACAAGTATCGTTATAAATTAGTGTAAAGGTAATAGATTAGACTTTAAACAGTAAAAAAAGTGTGTTCGTTCCTCATGGCTAACCGTGGCAATCATTAAGGAAACGAACCTTAAACTCATTGCAACTAGAAGAAATGTAGTTGGCGCCTCTGTAAAGTTCAAATTCCACTAGCTCCAGGCGTTTTCCGTTCTTCCAAGCTACAAACAGATTGCACTACTTCAATTGCTTGTGAACGAGCAAAATATTCAGATACCAAAATCACTGATCCTGAGCTTCAAACACAAAATTCGTATCAACCCCATAGGAAAAATCCCGATCAAGCCCATGCAGTGTTTCTACCCGTTTCTTCTATGCACTTGTCATGCGAGCACCTCATTTTTCTTTTGTTGTGAACGGGCTTTATGTGGGAAACAGGAAATGCCCATTGATACACAGCTAAAGAACAAAAGGCTGCTGTGAGTTCCGCACTTTACTCAAAATAAAAGGAAATTAAAATCGAACTCAAAGTCTAGCATTTTCATTGCTTCCCTTTCTCATACAACATTGAATCGACATTTTACAGGGTGTTGCAACAGGCAGAGACGATGTTCCTCTAAATGAGAATGTGTGTACATGTAATATGTCTTTACTGCATCATTAACAATATAAAACAGCATCAAAAGCGGAGTCTAGCCTTTGGTCAACCTACTGACTTACTATAAACTCTAAAAATACCTATTACTGTATAATTTTTTTTATATATCGAAGCAGTCGCGCAGACAGAAGCCTAAAGGCTGGAACATCGCGGCTGCTATGATGATCCCAAGGAAATTTTGTTAATACGATTTTTGAACTGCCTAAGGTTAGTAGAACTGGGAAAAGCTCCGTCTGGTAGATTGTTCCACAGTCTCAACACTCTCGGGACAAAAAAGCGGTAGTATCGCCCAGTTGTGGATGTACTAAGCTCGACCCGGCTAGGATGGGACGCCAAAGTTAGGCGGGTCTGTCTGACAGGAACATCGCGCGGCGGCATCATGGAAGAGAGCTCTGAGGAGCAAAGCCCGTTGGTGTAGCGGTAGAAAAGAGCTAGATCGCCGACTGCCCGCCGGTGCGAAAGAGTCCCGAGACTGTTAGAGAAGAGTCATCGATCAGTCGGACCGTCCTCCTCTGGACAATATCGAGCATGGATAATGTAGTCGGGGCGGCAGTACCCCAAACGTGTGAGCAATACTGGAGGCTAGGCCTTATCTGGACCTTGTATAGAGAGAGAATAGGTCATGCGGAGAAAAGTACTTCTTAGCCCTAAACAAATAGCCTAGCTTTTTCCAAGCAGCTGCAGTTATTGACGAGGTGTGTTCGTGCCAGATCAGGTCCTCGGTGATCTGGACTGCGACTATCCGAAATGAATGGCTCTTTGACAGAAGTCGGCCATCCATAGAAACCGGATGAGCGCTAGGACGCTTTTTGTTCGTCAAAGTACAGTACTGTGTTTTGGAAGCATTGAACTGTACAAGATTGTTGCGTCCCCAAGCAGTGATAGCCTCCTGGTCTTTTGTCAGAGAAGATATCGTCGCTGGCCTTCTTTTTTCCAGCTCAGCTGCACAGATCGGCTTGTCACTATGGATTCCTGCATCTGGAGTGCTGTCATCAGCGAAGCTGTGGATTGGGTTGATCGTGCAGGAAAGGAGGTCGTTGATGTGTAACAGAAAAGTGTCGGAGCCAAGACCGATTCCTGGGAAAGACCCGCGTTGACGTTGTGGGATGAAGAGGAGAACCCGTCAATTACGACGGATATCTCGCAGCCTGAGATAAGGTCAGCCACCCATCTGCAAAGCTTTTCTGGGAGGGCACAGGATGGAAGTTTGCTTAAGAGGGCAGCGTGCCACAGCTGATTGAACGTTTTCGTGATGTCAAGAGCAACGACATGAGCCTCACCATAAGACTGGATGAGTTTACTCCACAATTGAGTGACGTAAGCTAGGAGGTCCCCTGTGGATCGTTGGTGCCGGAAACCATACTGCCTGTCGCTAATCAAGCCGTGACGTTCGAGGTAGTCCAGAATTATGCACCTCTCCATCACCTTACTTATAGCAGAAAGCAGAGCTATAGGCTTGTAGTTGTAAGGGTCGGTCTTAGATCCAGTTTTCAGGGAAGGTGCCGGATTCATAAGATATCTGGAAGAGACGCTAAAGAACTGGAGCAAGCTCCGCTGCACACCTCCTCAGTACAATGGCAGGAATCAAGTGCGGACCAGAAGCTTTGTTGAGCGTCATGAGCACTCGTCTTACGGTCTTATGCCTGAATGTTACGTCTAGCATAGAGTAGGGAACCCTTTGAATTGACGGCACGGGCGTTGGGGAATGGAGTTGGCAGCAAAGGTCTTGGTTAGCACTTCCGCCTTGGGCTTTGAGTCGAATACAATCGTTCCATCCTGACACGTGAGTGGTGGTAGGCGTGATAGAATAAATATAGGTGCTACCAAAATTTCTGTGTTACTGTGTGTTGAAAATATATTGCTTTAGTAGTGATTTAAATTTATGATGATTTGCTGTATTCCTAATATTGATGTCTAATGCATTATAATATTTAGCGGCGTTATATAAGTAAGAGCGCTGAAATATTGCCATCTGTGCGATGTCTTAGTATGGATAATGTAACTTAATTTTAAATCATCATGTTAATGATTTTGAGCAATTCTAAATATTTGTCTGGGACAGCTACATGATCATGTTTCCTAAAATTATTTTTTTGCCGACAATCAGAATTTTGAATTTTCTGTAGTATCTAGGCGAACATTTGATATAAGCAAGGATAATACTTTATGATTCCATTTGAAATTTACGAAATAATTGATGTTCACATTGGATAGTGTTATCAAGAAACTGTGGGCATCAAAGTTGTATTGAGGATACCGATGTCTACGAAGTAGAGAAATTTTAACATGCGCCGTAGGTGAAGCAATACTCACAAATACCCAGTAGGATGCTTTGACCTCCAATAATATTTCTCACGATATCGAGTTTTCCATTTACCTATCATACTTTGTTTAAATGTAACTAACAGACTATTGTTTTAAAAAAATATTTGCCACCTTGATAGGAATATTTCCGATCAAAAAAATCTTACGATAAAGTCCTTTTCTAAATCTAAAATGCACCAGAGCTTGACATATTTGACGTTATAAAGAATAATTGCAGCGTGATAGATGAGCAAAGCTACCTCACTAAAGCGCTTTACCAAAAATGTTACTCGTACGATATTTGACGACGCGAAAATTTAAAGCACTCTGTACACTGGTAAGTAGGATTTTTTGAGCTTATGCTTCTAGAAAGTTTTTAGTGATGTTTGACAACCGGAGTTCTACTAAACCATCTCTATTGGTAGGTATGAGTCACTAGGAAGCGAACTACATGCCATGATAAAGTTTGACCATATACGGGGTTTGTAAATTAAGTGATGAGACTTGCAACTTAGCGTTCGGTCTGATCACACCAGAGGCGTCGGGCTTGGAGGAGAGACGGGGCAACATGTGATATGCCTTCGGTACAAGTTTGAACTCGCTCGAGTCATTTGGATGGCCGCAGCGATTTTTTTGGTGAAACAGTGTATTGTGTTCTAAAAATGAGTGACATAAATTCCAAGCAACGGTGTGCTATCAGGTTTCGAATAAAACTTGGGTACAGTGCAACAAAAACTCTTGCTAAATAGGCTTACGGAGATAGTGTTTCGTCAAGAGCCCATTTTTTTCGGTGGTTTAAAGCATTTTCAGAAGGGAGGGAAGAAGATGAACCACGAAGCGGAAGGCCTTCATCTTTACGAACCGATGAAAGTATCGGCAGAATCCGGGATCTTGTGTGTTCAGATCGTCGGTTGACAGTCATAATGATCGGAGAAGAGTTAAATTTGATTCACAACACCATTCACCAGATCAACAACTGGGTGTTGCTCCTTGTCAATAAACTAGCTTTTGGCCAGTAAGAACATTCCTGTGGCCCTTCAGCCTCCTTACTCGCCTGACTTGGTCCTTGTGATTTTTTACTCTTCCCGAAGGGAACTCATTTTGGAATAGTCGAAAAATTCAAACGGCTGTAATCGACCAGTTGCATTGCAGTATCGGAGTTCCAGCACTGCTATGAGGAGTGGAAAAACCGTCTCTAGCGATGTGTTGCTTCAGAAGGAAGTTATTTTGAGGGTGACCAATATATTGATTGTGATAGCAGTATTGCTTACTTATTCTAACCAATAAATGAACCCCTAATGGTAAGCGTATCTGTACTAGAAGCGCCAGCTTGAAATTTTAAGTGATATTTTTGGCAAACATGTTAGATTATTATTAATTATATTTGAAACAAGACACATGTTGCATGATATTAAGGAAACATACAGTTACGTTATGACTTGAATCAGTCACTCATGGCGATCACCACCAATTCCCTGTGGAGAAGTGGCATGGTACAGCGCCAAGGCGGATGGCGGCCGCCAAGTCTCCATACTATGAGGCAATTAACTTGTCGCTTAAAAATTGTGGGCATACTATTGTTTGAAAATCATGCAACTCGTCTTACTGTTGTATGATCTTTGGTCTATCTGGTTAATTTAATACAATTCATATGCTGAATACCTAGTTCTGGGCGCAGATGATTTCGAAAGTCTATAGATAAGATAGAAGCAATTTCTAGTGTCAATAACAAAAACGTTGGAAACACATACATACAAAACATCTCCCTCCGTACAGATCAACTTCTTTCTTTTAAGTGGTATGGCGCTGAGCCGTTATCTTGTAGCTGTTTTTGTTACATTATATTAAATTACATTACTTAATGACGTTACCTCAAATTTTAGCTTGCTAACTTGATCCATTCAAAAATTAAATAGGCTAAACGGGGAACTTTTCTGAAAAGCACTGATGTAACTCCTATTGTTCACAGGGAAGTAGCTTTGACTCAAACGAAAATGCTTTTGATGACATGAAACAACTGATAAATGTGAGTATTAAAAATATGCTATAATTTCATTATGCATGTATTCTTCTACTCAAAAAAATATAGTTGAAGTAACAAGCGATGTTCTCACTGACTATCCAAATTGTTTTCAATTTTCAACCAATAATGAAAAATAACATAAAGCATTCAGAAGGGACACTGAATCTTGACCTAAACATGGCCAAATTTCGTTTCTAGGTTTGTAGTTCAAGCGTCGTTATCAAATTTAAAACAAACTTGGCATCAGTTTACACTTGTCATATTAGGAAACAACATTTTTTTTAATAAGGATTGGAAATATATCAGTAAATTTAAATGAGTGAGTGTTGCTTTGTCATATATCAGATCTTTGATTCTATATTTCCCATGTCATTCCAGGACGAAGAAAATGATAAGACAAACACATTACCTTGGGCAAGCTTCAACTTTATCAACTCTATCCTAGGAAGTGGCGTCATTGGTAAGTTAACTGAAAATTGACTTTTCTACATTTTTGTGGTCTCTATTAGTCCACGTGTATGATGTAAACGGAGACTTTAGCTTTAATGGTAGTTCAATTCATCATCTTACTGGCAGTAAAAAGATGCGAGATTTATGGGCAAGGATAAAGAAATAAGAGGTTGCCATCTTTTCTCCATGAAAAGTCGAGCTTGTGGAAGCAGAACTCACACATTTTAAACATAAATTTGAAAGCATTTTTTAAAGGTATTTTCCTTTTATAAACAAAAAATACATGCAGAGCTGATCAGCCTACTTGAAAAAAAATACACATGATAGCATGCTAATGGTGTGTAACATCTCCGCTGAAAAATATTTAAAGACTTATTTGTAAGGACGCCACTGGTAGTGCTCTTAAATTAGCTTCAACTATGAAATCTCTGGTTTCTCCTACTAAGCTATCAGGTGCCAAAACATAATGTCTTTAGGGCTTATAAACATAAAACAAAAAAGAAATAAAAAGTGGTACACCCAATAGCTTGTGGCAAAAATATGTTGCAGCATACAATACCCTTCAAAAGGAACCTCTCCCAAGTTATTTTCTGAACGGGTCCAGTTGGCAAGCTAAAATTCGGAGTAATAGCCGAAACTTATGAATATACACATCAGTACTTCACAATCCTAGAGTATGAATTTAAGGCAAAGTATACATAATAAGCTCCAAATTGTAACATGATCCTCCATTCTATTAAAAATGACCTAGCCGCCATCATGCATCAATATCGTCAACCGACACTTCAGCCTGTTAACTTGACCCGTTTAAAAAATAAGTTAATGGATATTTTTGAGATGCTGCTAAGTGGATATAAACTTTTCTACACAAAACAACCTGAAGATTGAAGCTATAAAATCTCAACATAAAGTTAGGGATGGATGGCATGAATGTTTTTCTTAACAAAAGGGTATGCCATAATATCAATGTTTTAGTAGAGGACTACGATAAGCCCGTGTGATAAATTTACTGTTAAAACATTAAGGCATGAGAGAACTCCACGTTATTGATCCAAATCACACTGCCTCTTTGACGACTGTTATATTTTCTTTATGAATACTTCCACGAATACACAATAATTGTAGGAAGTTCACCTACTCCTCTTTGTTGTTTACGTCACGGACTATTCTCGCAAATATTAATACTTCACAGGTCTAAAGAGCTTATTCCTAGCAGTTGCTGCGGAGACACATCCCTGCCGAATCATGTCCTTAGTGTTTTCAACTAATGCAAACCAAAACCTACCTTCTTAGCAAGGAAAGTCAACCCATCCAAACCGAATATGCGCTTGTGTTCTTGATCATGTTTTGAGCAAAGCAAAAAAAGATCAAATATACAGCATTCTTTATTTCGGAGCGGTATATTATTTCATTTGAAGGGATTTTTCAAAATAGCGAGTCTGCATGCTGACAATTTCGTTAAAACTATTTTTTTAATTACAGGTATTCCTTATGCTCTCCATGAAGCCGGCTGTGGATTTGGACTCTTCCTACTCCTTTTTGTTGCTTACGTTACGGATTATTCTCTCATTCTTATGGTTAGAAACGGACACATCAGTGGAAAATTCTCTTACCAAGGTATCATGGAAGCCGCATTTGGTAAACCAGGGTACATCCTTTTGGGCATACTCCAGTTTGTATATCCCTTCATTGGTAATTTACTTTTTCTTCAATTCTGAAAGCGTTTTTAATATATAGGACATACAGATGACAGAAAATGAGATAAGCGTCAATTCAGGATTGAAAAACACTAAACCTTTGCGAAACCACGTCCTCGTGTGTTTTTAAATTCTTTTGAGCAAACTTTTGAGTATAGTAAAACATTCTTGGGTGGAGCGTGAGTCCGGAAAATGGGAATATTCGTCTCCTTGAGACCCTATACAAATATGTTATACCTCGTTGGTGGAAGACGGTCTCAGACTGTCGAGCGTAGAAGTAGCACTCGGCGAATTTCAAAGGTGGGTCCAGTATGTGTGCATGTCACATGCTCGCGATATGTTCCCCCAACGGAGTCTGGAACGTCCCTGTATAAGGATATTCTGTTCTAGAAAATAATTTTTAAGTAGGCGTGACTGCATATTGTAATATGTAGTAGGCACTTTATGCCCAATAATGGTAAAGTCCTTTTAGCCCCCACTATCCTTGATATGGGTATTCATGTCCAACTATCGGCTATTCTTAATTAATCAATTAAGCTATAGGCTACGAATAAGATTTTGTATGTATAATATCTAGAGACTAATAAGCTTTTATCCATGTCCTGGCGTAAACGGGTACTTTATGAATATGTTTTCCAGGCGTTAAGTCCGACTATTCAGCTCACGGACATTACCGCACGCAAAGTGTAAATAAATCAATGTTGAAAACAATATGGCGGCCTACGTGAACTGCCCTCTCTGTATGCATTCCTCCACGTGTTAGGCACGGAGTTTTGGACTGATTGATACATAAAGTGTTGGCTTGACAGCAGGTTTTCGCTCTGGAACTTTGCTCGTTCACATGGCGGGTTAGTTCAGAAGTTGCTTTAAATTGATTTAGGTTGTCGTATGTTCAGCAAATAGCTAAAACTTAATTAGAATTATAATTCTGTAAATTATCGATTACATGAAACATACTGGTATATATCGCAATATTAACAAATTTTATGGGATTTTAATCGATGTCGTAAGCAATCATCTTTTGAATCATAATTACTTATGAGTAACAGTTAAATACTTTGGCCATGCCATAGAAAACTACATTTGCTGCTTTACATTGCTCAAAGCCCCTCATAACATATTCTGCGCGATCTGTCATTGCAGAGGTTGTAGATCTTTTTGATCGAACTCCATGTTGACTTCCAGGAAAAAGACCATTTGCTCAAAAAAGACGAGATAATTTGCTTGTTTATGAGAAGTTCTCCTTCATATTCACTGTTTTTTAGCTATGGTATCCTACAACATTGTCGTAGGAGACACCGTGACAAAAGTTATCATCAGACTCTTCGGAATCAGCCCGGAATCGGCATTAGCCCAAAGGGACGTTGTTGTTCTGATTGCAACCCTTTTCATTTCGATTCCTCTATGCCTGTACAGAGACGTCGCCAAGCTTGCCAAGATCTCCTTCATTAGTCTCGTGTGCATCGCCTTTATACTTTTCTCCATCCTATTGAAGACTGGATCTATGGCTGATATTGTGTAAGTATGCAGTGACTGAGAAAAGTCCAATTTTTCACTCAACTTACTGACGTTTCGGCTACTTGGTAGGCTTTTTAGTTGAATATTTATCTTCAATGTCAGTTTCAGCACAGTTTGCGTATTTTTGGTTTTAATTGAATGCAGTCGGTTTTATTTGAAAATTCTTTCATTTTTGCGAAAAAAGAGACAAACTTTCAATTCTTGAAACCGTCCTCCCTTATTATTGACCATATTTTCCTAACATAGTTTTATTGCCCTAAAACAAGCATCTCTACAGTACTGTACAGTAAAGTTATTATCACCATTGAAAAGGAAGAGGTGATAACTGCAATATGTTTAAGTGTGTAAACTGTTACTGGACATTAAGTTTTCACAGCACACTTAATCCTATATTTCGTTGAGTCTTTATAATGAATTTTGGTTTCCAGTCCAGATCATCCACATTCTTGGAGGTTTATTAACAAAGACATTGTTCCAGCTATAGGAATAATGGCATTTGGTAAGTAAAATTCTAACTTAAAGGTACTTGAATTACCCACGATTACGCTTTACATTTCCACACAAAGGCCGAGCTTAGATATTGATGTACCGCGACCGCTTTGGAGGGATAATACATCTTTATGTTGCGACTTTTGGACTGCTTAATTTTATTTGAAGTAGGAAAATAATCTCCTTCTAGATTGTCCTTTATTCCTGATAGAGTGAAAGATGTATGTGAATGAGAAAGTGGGAGCCTCACATCCACCTGGTAGGCCTAGAATACGGCGTGGCAGTAATCTGAAGGAGAGTACAGATGAACGAATGCCGATGGCATGATCGATAGAGATAGACTACAGCAGGACCACCATCGAAAAGTAGTCTGGGCAGCAGCCATTTGAGTATATTAACAGCATTCATGGCTGGGTATTATCTGCTGTGTCCTTGAAACCGGTAGCGCAACATCTTTCCAGCAGTTGAGCTGATTGATAAGGCGTGTTGATGCTAGTGATTTGAACTTCGATAGACTGAAACAAACGACCTGCTAGTTAAACTTGGTCTTCTAATAATCTGCTGATACGTATTAATTAATGAAGGACATTCCATACCCATTTATTCTTCTTTAAAGGCCGTCTTATAGTCTTAATAGTTTCCAGGTAGCGCGGTGGTAAACGCTGCGCAGGTTCGTTTCCTATCCCAAGAGAGTTTTTCTTTTGGCTATGGTCCGTAGCTGGTAGACCGTCTCGGACTGTCAGCGTACTACCCGGCGGATATATTATAAGGTGGGGCCAGAATGTGTGCATGTCACATGCACACCTGTTGAACAGTCCCCTGGAACATAAAACTGGATGATTACAAGGACAATGTTCAACTATTGGAGAGTATAGTCATGACAGCATCTGACAATACCTTCGTTGTAGTCCACAAATCTGGTAAAGTGAGGCATCAAATTATTGTTGGACATCTGCATCACGTAAAACCATGTCACCATTTCAGTTGGCCATTTTTTCTATCCATAAAGTTTCTAACGTATAATGCAGACTTCAAAACTGCAAACTGAACTATGGCGCGATGAAACTGATGCATGAATCATATTGTTCAGTGATCCGATACCCATTTTTAAAGCTCTCTATGCCTTTAAACTATCGACTTACTATCATTCGTAATGCCTGAGTGGTGGTCTGTCAAAGCTAAGCGATTGTATTCATCGAATTACCTATAACTCAAATCATCAAAAACGCTATAGTATGTCATATTAATCTTCCTCTTTCAGAAAGGTCTATCTGATTGTGCAATAGAATGTGGACATTCTGTTTAAAAAAATGGACTAACTTTGACAATTCTTTCAAATGGAATGTTTCTTATTTTAACACAGATTCTGATAGATACTAACAATAGAACAAAATCTATATGTTATACTGCAGCGTTTTAATGACTGGATTCCAACTAGAAGCGATCAAATATATACAAATGCTCAAATCCATCCTGACAGTCCTTGATTTTGAAAGATATTTATTTTGTTCCAGAAAATAGGTACATAAAGTACAAAAGCTTCAAAATGGGGTATTGCATGACCCCTAATTCCTTTAAAAAAATTTCCAATTTGGTGCTCAACTCCCATTTCGAAATTTTCAACTGAGATTTTGATACATCCATTAATTTCATCATCCCTCCAAATTTCAGGTTGCTAACTTCACCCGTTCAAAAAATAATAGGCTTTTCGAAAATCACTCTATAGCGCTGACATTTCATAAGTCGTATTTTAATCCCAAGCTACCCCGATATGATTTTGAATATAATACAGACCACTGCGCAAACCGCATTCTTCTCCAACCTCCGTCATTTAATAGATTTTACGTTTGACAGGAATGACGTCTTTCCAATTCACGTTTTTAATTAGCAACGGATCGTCTGTTCTTGACAAGTTGATTATGCAATGAATAATAAAAAGATGTCGTCGGGTGTGAAAACAATTTGTCTAGAAAGATTAGGCTTAAAATTAAAAGACTATCATGATTCAGAAGAGAGCAGGATCGCGACAAACGAGGAAGCTGCCTGCATACGCAATTGGTGGAAACATAACCTTTTCAGCAATGTCCCCTCAAATAAAATAATCTTCGCAAGCATTTCCTAACATAAATTGTTCAATCCGCACCGAGAAGAAAGTTTAATTGAATTAATTGAAACTATAATTAGGCCAATTGAAAAATTTAATCAACTATGTGACAGGTAACAAGTTTTAATAGTTTAAGTAAGCCCCGATTTCAAACACAGTTCACTTGAATCTATGAAACTAGTTTAATTAAACCAAAACGTATTCCTTCAATTAAATTTCTTAAACCGTTTACCTAGATTGAGTACACCTATTTATTTAAAATTAACCAACTATTAAAATGAGTTTACTTGCTCCAAGTAAAACAATTTTATGGTACTTATTAAATTTGTTTGATCAGATTAGGTAAATCTATTTGGCTAGTTTTGATGAATTATTTTATTTGGATTTAAAGGTCTATTTAGATAATATTTGGATAATTTTTGGAATTCAAAAGAACAGATTTCATCTCAATGAATGATGTATATTATAACTGCGCTCTGACAAATACATATTAGATATCAAAAAAATTGGAAAACCTGATATTCATATTTGATCTTTTCAAATCAAAATCGAAACTTATTATTTTATTACCGTAAAAAAAATCGATATTAATGTAAACTTATGACTTCGAAGTTGAGTCATTTATTTCAACAGTGAGTAGATCTGATCAAAAGAAATATTTTTTCCTTTAACATTTTTCTGGTAAAATTAAAGTAACAAAGTTATAGCTATTTAGAAGTTTGAGTACCGTCCTGTCTCAATAATAATATTATGTGCTCGTGTTTGGCGACAACGGATATAATCCGTCTTATCGGTTCATCGCATCGGAAACAAAAAAGCGAAAGAATTTGAAACGCTTATCACGATGTTTTTACTACAATTTTATTCAGTTGTATTCAGTCAATGTGTCAGTCGGTAACGCGTGAGTGAATAGTGGTGTTTGTTGCGTGGCTCAAACTAAATAAAAAATGGCACATGTTTACGAAAATTTAATTGACCGCTGAACTTGTGGACATGATTCTTATTTACGGGGGGGGGGGGAGTCTTTACAAAATGCTGGCATCACGGATTTATGCGGATCGGTTTCCCAATCGAGTGCAACCAACCGCTCGTGCCTTTGTTAATGTAGTACAAAGGGCTCGTGAATCAGGTGACTTAAGACCTCACAGGGGAGGGCATGCCGGTGCTCCAAAACCGCACGATTAAATATAGGTCCGCACTGAAATACTTGTGGGGAGGATACTTTATAAAACAAGGTAAAATTTTTTTTAATTTTTTTTTACTTTGACGCACATATTTTGGTTTATCTTCCTTCTACAATCATTATCTGAAAATCAATGACTCAACTTCAAAGTCACCCTGTATATGGGATCGACTTTTTCCAGTTATTAGTCTGATTGTTTACAAACAGGTTATAATGCATCATCATTCACTAGAAGCAATTCTTTGTTTCAAATTTAGAAAGTAGGGAAAGAGATACTTGAACATGTATACAAAAAGTGTACCTTTATTTCTAATAATAAAGCAATATTGCATTCACCTGCATTCAATGCATTTACATATATAAATAAATTCGACACCACCCTAAACAAACAACGATTTTCTCGAATATTACAAAGTCTGCACTAGCAGCGGTGGCCGCAGTAGTAGACTCTTCGAACTCTTGATCAGTCGTGCGCTGTGCGGGTTCGAATCCAGTCCCAATAGACATTTTTCTCTTGGCTATGGATGCTGTGATAATGAAAATGATAATGATAATGAAAATTTTCCACAATAACTGTTTAATTGACCGCGTTTTCTCAGTGCAGGTATCAGCTGTGAAAATCACTAGAATATTCGGCAGATGTCGAGCGACACACTTAACACTATTCCTCTATCGTTATTTGGATTTTGAAAAAAGGATCATGATACCTATCAATCACACTGGAGACAAATAAGAAACCTCTCTAAGCAACTAGGACTTTGTGATGGTACATTGGTATCTGCATAGAAAATTAAATATTCTATTTTTTTCAGCTTTCATGTGTCATCACAACACTTTCCTGATCTACAGTTCAATTGCAGAAGCTAACCAAATGAAATGGGAGATTGTAACTCATTTCTCTATCATGACTAGTTTGATAGTAGCAATTCTTTTTGGAGTTGCGGGATATGGTACCTTCAGGGCTTATTCACAAGGTGAGTATATTAACATCTAGAATTCCATTGTAACATCGCTGGTGTGATCTTGTGTTTTCATTTGGTCCCACAAATTATTGCAAAATTTGTTTCCTTTAATTACTGTGTATATCTGCATTGTGTTTGAAAGTGTATTGCCTTCGAAAGGCTGCTACACACAGGGCCGCCGGGCAAGCCGCCGGCTAAGCCTCCGTACACCCGGCGGCATACAAAGCCGCCGGCCCTGCCGCGCAAACGAGCCGCCGGGGTGTGCCGGCGGGTTACGCGGCTTGCCGGCGTCAGTTCGTTCCTGGCATTCGAGCGGTAGTGTTGTGCGGTTTGTGTGTTTAAATAAATTAAAATGTCGTTTAATTGGGACGACGATGCTGTGCTGCTCTTAATTGAAAAATTTCATGAAAATGATATATTATGGAATCCCAGAAATGCAGACTATAAGAATAGGAACAAACGAATGGACGCATTGAACATAAATGCAAGTGTATTTGACATTGATAAAGGCGAAGTAGAGAGAAAGTTAAAAAATGTAACCTCTCATTATTTTCGGGAAAAAAAGAAGTTAGAACAGTTGCACAAATCTGGTGCAGGCATAGACGATGTATAGAAACCCAAAAAACATGCTATTGCGCAAACGCTGACACCCCACATCATCTTTTTTATACTCTTCTATCATTACAGTACCGTTCCGCCATTTTCTATTTTGTAAACTTGGGTGCAACCAAAACCTTCTCGTCCTTTTGTATTTTTTTCTTATTAAAATAAAAATTACAACTGCGGCGGCTATGCTGATGATTTCCTTATTCATTTTAACCAACCAACCATAAAATATGCACTTCACTAGCGTTCTATGTGACTGTCACAACCGGAATGATGCTTGGCGGCTTGTATTGCCGACGGCATTGCCGCTCGGCATAAAACCGGCGGCATTGCCGCCGGCACTGTGTGTAGTAGCTTTAATACGTGAGTTATCTGGAGTTTTTTTCTCTTCTTAAATAAAAACCAAAATATAACCTTATATTATTAGAAACATTTTCTGGTGCTGTACTACCAAGTTATCGTGCCTTCAGTGGCGTAACACAAATTGAGATCTAATTTGATTTGTGCATGTTGCAGCAAGTCTTATAAAGCTAACTTAATGGTGAAATGCGCCATATGTACAAGAACCTTCAGACATGCTTGTGTCAATCTTTCACTTGATGAAATAAATGTGCTAAATGATCCTGATAAGGGCTACTCTTGGTCCTGTACCAACTGTAGATAGGTTGGAAGTCAATTAAATGATTTAAAAAACTTGATATTGTCATTGCAAAACGATATCAGGGCATTAAAGGCTGAGAATAATGCTTTGAAGTCTGCTGCTCCAGCTAATGGTTTTGATTTTGAAGAGATTATTGGAGAAATGAACGAGCGCAACTCCCGTTAGCAGAATATGATTGTATTTGGCTTACCGGAGCCAAATCAAAGTGACCAGCCCCAAGCCAGGGCAGACAAGGATAAAGTTGATATAGGGAAAATTTTTAGAGTGGTGGATCCTCATTTCCAGCTACAAAATGCATCAGAAATTAGACTGGTACAATTTGGCGCCGGGAAAAACAGTCAAGGTGGTCTTACAGAACGAGACTCAAGTCATTAATCTGATTAAAAAGGCAAGTAATTTGAAAAATAGCGCTTACACGAAGATATCGCTTTCATTTGATCGTACTTATAGGCAGATTGACCACTACAAAAAGTTGCAAGAGGATGTAAATGCAAGAAATGCTGAAGGCACGCAGAAGTTCAGGGTTAGATATATTAATGGTAATCCAAAAATTGTGAAGTCTTTAAACTGAAGTGTTCCAGCAGTTTCGCTAGTTCGTGCTCGCGCTGTTTGTTGTGTTACTATCAAAATGTTCGTGGGTTGAATAGTACGTTACATATAATCAGTCCGGCTATTAGTGATAGTGAATATGATTTAGTTTCATTAAGTGAAACGTGGTTGAATGAGAATGTTTTGAGTGCTGAAATAATTCCTGACTCTTATATTGTTCATAGGAAGGAGCGTAAGTTTACATTGGTTGATAAGGAATGTGGCGGTGGAGTGCTTCTAGCTGTTAAGGAATGCATTAAATCTGAGGTTACAGATGTTGCTGTCTTTGATGCACAATTTCCATCAATTGATCTTTTAACAGTGAGATGCCATGTGGCATATAAGACATTTTTTGTGGCTGTTGTTTACATTCCTGACAAAATTGCTGTTGATGAATTTGAATCGTTCTTTGATGCTGTTGAGCAACTTGATTATTTGCACGACTGTAATTCCCTGTTTCTAGGAGATTTTAATGTGCCTCAACTTGTAAATGGCAATCTTCTAGACCCTAAGAGATGCATTATCCATAATTTTTTGGACATTTTTAATTATAAGCAGTCAAATAATGATTTGACTGCCATATTCATTAAAGAGCCTAAGTTTACATTCAATCATAGTAAAATAACTTATAACTACAGATAGGCTGACTTTGTCAACCTGTATCAAGAGCTAATTCAATTTGACGGGGATGTTTTATTCTGCTCTTCTGATGTTAATTATATTGTTGATTTTATGGCAACATTTTCCAAATTTTTGACAGGCACGTGTATAAGAATTACAGTCACCGATACCCGCCTTGGTTTCACTCAGCTATTATAAAGAACATTAAACTTAAAGCTAAATTTAGGAAAAAAATCCACAGGTCTGCTTTTGTTGATGATCTACAAGAATTCAAACGTTTGCGCCACTTGATAAAAAACCAGATTAAATCAGCGTATGATCAATATATTGAAAATATCCAGAATTCTTTAACAATTAACCCCAATGCTTTTCGGTCATACGTTCACTCCAAAAACAACACATCACGAATCCCTGGGATAATGAAATTTCTAAATAATTCTATAGATCAGGCTCAGGATATAGTAAACGCATTCAGTGTTTTTCAGCAGCGTCTATGTCACTCACAAGCCCCATAATAATGCCTCACTAAATCATTGTAATTTATTTGTCCATTTTCATCCAATTGAGGAAAATGAAGTCAGGAAGGCCATTAAATCACTAAAGGATAAGATGACATCTGGTCCAGATGGCATCCCGTCCTTTATAGTCAAAGATTGTGTGGAAGTGTTTGTTGGTGTTCTAACTAGGATTTTTAATATTTGTCTTATAACAAAAGGATTTCCAGATATTTGGAAGATCGCTAAGGTCTGTCCAGTCTTTAAGTGTGGGGATAAGTCAAATATTGAGAACTACAGGGCAATCTCTATATTATGCATATTCTCGAAAGTCTTTGAAATAGTCTTGTACAGTCGCATTTACACTGCCGTCTAGCGTCAGCTATCATTGCATCAACACGGATTTGTCGCTAATCGCTCAACAACCACAAATCTATTTATAATAACGCAGAGAGAAGGCTTTCGATAAAATTAACCACAAAACTTTATTAAATAAGTTAGGTGCACTTGGTTTCACAGATGATGCTAGGGAGTTGATGAAATCTTACTTATCCGATCGTAGCCAATTTGTTAGCTATAATGGCTTCCAATCTGAGACCTACTTGGCACCGTCTGGAGTTCCTCAGTGGTCCAACCTGGGACCATTACTGTTTTTGATATTTATTAATGACCTCTGTGACTCAGTTGAATGTGAACGCCTATGCTTTGCTGACGACCTAAAAATTTATTCGCAGATAAATACTCCTGATGATTGTATCAAGCTACAACAGCAATTGAATTTTGTGCTGTCTTGGTGTGTAGAAAACAAGTTGGAGCTTGTGTAAAATAGTCAGCTATATAAGGAAAATTAATGTTTGCGAATATCCGTACTCTATTGATGGGTCTGTGCTAGAAAGATGCTCTGATGTACGTGATTTAGGTATAATCTATGATCAAAAGTTAACTTTTAGTCAGCATATGAATAAAAAAGAATCAGAAGCACTGGCGGCTTATGGTTTCATAGTAAAGAATTGCAGGAACTTTCATAACATAAAGTCTATTAAGCTATTATATTATGCTTATGTTAGATCCAAAGTCGAATATTGTAGTATTATTTGGAGCCCTTACTATGAATGCTATAGCACAGCTATTGAAAGAGTACAACGGAAGCTTATGAAGTTTGTCCTGTTTAGGATTGATGGGACATATCCAGAGAGAGGTACAAGTAATGAGGAACTATGTAATCGCTTAGACATGTTGACTTTGAAAAAACGTAGGTACTGTGCCTCAATAATATTTGGCTGCAAAATGATAAACAATTTAATTGATTGTGCCATGATCCTGGAACAGATCAAGTTTCGTACTCCAACGTTTGCATCTCGCAATCATAAAATATTCGGGCTTCCTAGAGCTAGGACAAGCATTCTTCTCAAGTCACCGTTATATGTAATGTGCTCTAACTTAAACAGAATTGGATGTTACTGTGATATATTTACGACAAATGTTAATTACCTGCTAAAGGCACCTAAGGCTTATTCGGACCAATAGCTCATGTTACAAATTTATACATGTGTTGCATTTGTTGTTTTCTTTTCGCTTTTTTTTGCTTTTGTATTATGTTTATAAATTGTCCTATAAATGGGAAACTGTTGGACAATAAAGCTATTATTATTATTATTATTATTATTATCTCAATGTTCAACTAACATGTGAAGTTAACATGCTCTGCTTTCGTCCGTCCGACCAAAGACAGTCAACCATGGACAGCCCTTTTGTGCTTTCTGGCTACTTCTCAGCGTGGTCTAGGCTTGGGTCTCTCAGGCAACGAACGAAAGCATAGCAACTATACACTGTACAAAGTGTGTGATCTATCGAAACAAGGAAACGCCATATACTAATAGAATCGACCACTGCAGACGTTCAATTGAGACTGTATAGATTTTGACATGTAAAGCTCAAATTGCGCAAAATTTGAATAAACGCGTTTTACGAATTAGGGTGGCGATTCAGGCTGCGTGTTAATGGAGAAACACTTATTGGGTAAATATTGACTGACATTTAGATGTAATGTTCCTTTTTTACGGCAAAGAGCTCAAACGAACTTACTGACGACAGCATCTGTAAACATGATGTGTGTGAATGGTAATAAAATAGGCGACATATGCGACATACTTTTCTAGCTTAGGCGAATTGAAGCGAAAACTGCGTGCTCATTTTTGGTTTTCTTACCTCCCTTTCTGTTAAATTAAAGCTATAATCCTTTGTATTGATTTATGAACTTTGTAATTGCTTTTTGACAAAATACTTCGTGACTATTCCTTTTTTATGATAGATTGCTCTGTAAATGGTGTTAAACTGTTGGGCAATAATGGCTTATTGTTATTATATTGGTCTGAAAACGGTAATTAAAGAAAGTCAGTGGTGTTTTTTAAATTAAGAGAAGTATAGTAGTAGTAGTAGTGGTGGTGGGGAGACGAACCCTGGCACTAGGCCGTTTTTGACCCTTTTTGTCGTGGTATCAACAGCATACATTCCATTTACTGGTAACTGATTATTGAATCAACCAGCAATGCATTGTACCTGTACCTGTTAACCTTGCATCGACCTGGTGCGTAGTATATAGACACACATATGGCTCGAAATCAACTTCCGAGGCGGAGATTCAAACCCGTGAGCCTTCGAGTTGATGGATTATATGGTTGACGTGCCAACCAACTGACTACCCAGTCTCGCTTGATTCAAGAGTATATTATAGACCTAATTTTTGAAAAAGTGTTTCTTTTAGCTTCAATACAATTTTGGTTTTAACTGAACTCATTTCATAATTGGGAAAAGCAAAAACATCTCTACGGCAAAATATTTAAATAAGAAAACAACTGATTTGCAGTTTGAAAGTATTTTGTAATTTGACCTAATTTAAATTGAAAATATACAGGGTACTTTCAAAGTTGAGTCATTTACTTTAACTGCTTATAGGACTCGTCAAAAGGAGTGGATATACCAAAAGCCACCTATACAAAAGTTGCACAATAAAAGAAATAGTAATGTTACAAATCGAGGAAGACATTTTAGAAATGGTCGAAGACGACCTAACAATGAGTACTAGAGCCATAGCAGCTCATGTTGAAGTTTCTCATAGCAAACTGTGGAAGACAATACGACAAGAACAGTGGCTTTTAGAAGAGTTCGGCAGAAATGAAGCTGTTACGAAATTAATTTTGTGTACAGACGAGGCCACATTTATACGAAATGGAGTGCGCAACATCCACAACAATCATGTTTGGGGAGTAGAAAATCCGCGTACTGTAAAAAGAACTCGTTTTCAACATAGATTTTCATTAAATGTTTGAAATTTATTTAGATTTTCTTGGCCTGCTCGCTTCTCAGATTTAACGCGTTGCGATTTTTTTTCTGTGGGGCTATTTGAAAGAGTTGGTGTATTTTGCGTTAATCGAACAGTTTTGAACAGTTTTTGTAAAAACGGTATCCATTTAACTTCTCTAAAAAATGTGTAAATAATAAATAACTCTCTTATTATTCAACTTTTATACAGGTGATTTTTGGTATATCAACTTCTTTCGGCGAGTTTTACAAGCTGTCAGAATAAATTACTCAACTTTGGAAACATTCTGTATTGTTGCGTAAAATGAGTTCAATGAAAATACGCCAAACATTTATCAAGGATCAGTCGCCAGAATCAAATAATTTTAAACTTTTGGTTGATTGCAGGTGATTTATTAGAAAATTACTGCTGGAACGATGACTTGATGAATATAAGCCGATTACTGTTCAGCATCCAGATCCTGCTAACTTACCCTATAGAATGCTTCGTTACCAGGGAAGTAATAGAGAACTCATTGCTGAGAAGAGAACCGAATGTGCCAATCTCAGAGAAGGTTCACTATCTTCTCACATTGGGAATCATTTTCACAACTTACATCATCTCCATCACCACACCCTGTTTAGGAGTAGTCTTGGAATTGAACGTAAGTACATCATCGGATCGGTAGCTCAGGCTAGAGGATTTTAGAGATAGCGCGAATGAAAAGTATGCTAAGCATAACTCCTCAGACGATCGAGTATTGGATTGAATTCTGTAACTTCCGGACCTTTCAACTATACCTGCGTTTGAATGGAATGATGTTAAAATTTCCACTAAACAGACTTACCTTCAAGATTAGAAGTATCGAGTGCTTATTAATTTATTGACATATTGGGAAATAAATAAGGATAAATTTCTCCTAGAGCTTTAAGTTCGTTTTTTTCTTGTTCAGTACTTTTGGTGGGCAAATAGGTTGCTGGAATAATAAAATGACTCACCTTTTTGTTTAGAAATACATTTCAGTAAAATTCCGGTCATACATTTTCTGTATATTCAATGACATAGTTTCACTAACAACGTACAATGAACTCCTTATTATAGCAGTTCTCACCCATTAGTCAATTTTTCAACGGACATAGTAGTAGCCATTCAGATCGTAGAAAAGTATTTAAAATTACCAATCCGAAGATATAGTACGAATATATTTGTACATTAAAATTATAAATTTCCGTTTACTTCGCTTAACTGGATCTTGTAATTAAATATACATTGTGTTGTATGAACTGGTAATTTTAAGTGCTATTTGATGATATAAACGGCCCATGAGATTCCTGTGAAAACAAAAAGTTCTGCAATGTAATTTAGATATTGATCGTAGCACCATTTAGTACCATTAAAATTTTATTAAACAATTCTCGATAATTTTTGATTCTCTGAATGTATTGTGGCCGCTATGCCCTGCAAAACCCATAGTAACAATATTCCTCCACCTGAACCAACACTGTCAGTTAACCAAGTCACTACACTACGGGGAGGTTTGATTAATAAACCAACCAAAGAGGGCATTTTCAACAGCTGGGTACATAAGGTACCGAAACAGCACTCTAATACCCATTGTTTTTTAAGAACTTCTTTCCAAAATCACCATTGGAACAATACTTTTTCCGCATTTAAGTGACTTTTATTGTTTTTGTTGATTGATTTGTAAAATGCCGAGATCTCGAGTCGAGATTGCATGCCATAATCTAGACCATCAGCAATAAGTGATATCCTTTCAAATGAAAATGAAAAATATACCATAACACCCACAGTGCGATGAATATGCCGTTCGATGGAATACCCGTACCCTCCTTACTCTTGCACGGCCATCATGTGTTCCCAAACAGAATCTGGACTCATCGCTGAACACACTGAGTTCCATTCTATATTCGATTCAAGTCTCTCCCTACTCCATACTAATCGTTGCCGATAATGCTGTTGGGTCAGAGGTAGTTCAAGATGGGGACAGTATGAAAATAGTCCAAAAGGCCTTCTTCGGCGATAAACTGTTCATTGTTATTGCCCTTCCGACGGCATCATATAGTATACGAGGAAAGTCTTTTAAGGTTTGCATATAGTCAGTACTGAATCTTAACCTCACCCTTTAGTAAGCTTAAATTCAAAGTTTCACAACAATATGTGCGGTGTTCTCACTACAGTGAATTTTTAAGTGTCACCAAGTCATTAGAATAATGGAACTCAACCGAGAACATTTTCGCGCCCTAATTTATTACAACTTTCAGAGACAATTATCGCAACAAGAATGCTTTGCTGAGTTACTCTCTGTTCAATTCCGAAAACTCAAAAATGTGTACAGCATTGTTAGTGGTGATGAATCGTGAATTTACTGTTATGAACCAGAAAATAAACGACAGTCGGCTGTTTGGGTGTTCCAAGGTGAAGAAAAGCCAACAAAAGTCAGCCGTTCTCGAAGTGTTTCGAAAAAGATGGTCGTGACATTTGTGTCAAAAGCGGGTCATATTGCAACAGTTCCTCTTAATGAGCAAAGATCTGTTTCTGCGGATTGGTATATCACCATTTGTTTGCCAAAAGTGATCACCGAGCTTCGAAAAATCAACCCCGAAAGAAGAATCATCCTCCACCAAGACAATGCAAGTTCGCACACAGCCCAAAAAACAAGGCAGTATTTAACGGAAGAAAACGTGGAATTATTGGACCATCCTCCATATAGTCCTGATCTAAGTCATAACGATTTATTCACTTTCCCGCAAATTAAAAACAGACTGCGTGGTCAAAGGTTCCAGTCACCAGAAGAAGCAGTTGACGCATTCAAAAATGTCGTTTTGGATCTGCCAGCAAACGAGTGGAATGAGTGATTCGAAAATTGGTTCGAGCGCATGCAGATGTGTATTAATATTCGTGGAATTATTTTCATATGCAAAACTTAAAAGACATCCCTCGTATCTGGTTCACAACTGCCCTTGTTGTGGAAAATCGATCTCAAGTTTTTATCAAAATTCAATAAATAATTCTGCGTGTTGCAATTAGTATAGATAGAGCATTTTATCAAAACATATATGACGTTAAGCCAAAAATTGATAATTCGGATTTTTTTCATTCCATTTCTGCATTCAATTGTCTTCGACTCCCATAGTTTTCCAACATAAACAATGATCCTGATCTCGCAAAAGTAATTTTAGGTGGTGATTTTTTGTTTGATTATAAGTAATAAACTTCATATCAAGATCTGTCAAAAAACGTCTTTTTATCACATATAGGGGAAAGTTGCCGAAATCGTACCGTTGCGTTGCCTAAATCGCACCACTGCGATATTTCAAATAAGGCGGTAAAATGTAGTATAACGATTAGCCGTAGATGTCGTGCCCATCATGTCAGTTCAGTGGTAGAGTTGTTTTCGATAGATTGTGTTTTGCTTAGTCCCAATATTAAGTGAAAATTTTACGGGCATTTTGATGTTAATTTTGTTGAGATTACGTAAGGCTGTAGCTTGTCGGTAAGTACTATTTATACAGAATAATTTCTCTAGCTCTATAGCTTAGGAAGTTCTCTTTCATTTACAGAATTTAAATTTTAAATCAGGTGTGGAAAGTAAAGTTAGAAACTCTTTTATTTATCTTTATTGAAAGTTGCTCAAATCGTACCACGTTGGGTTTCCCAAATCGTATCGGTACGATTTGGGGAACCCATGTCGCTTTAATGACTAACGTTTAAATCCACCTACCTATTTGTTTGTTTCACACACAGAAAATGATATGTATTGTTTTTGTACACGGAGAAAAAAGAATTAACAAGCCTATTAATAGAGATATCCTTAAAGTTGTCAAAATTTTCGTTTCAATATCTAACGTTTGAATATAGGTACCTATATCTTTTGACTAAGAAAAAAAAACTGTTATGCATTTTTTTTATGTATACAGAGAAAAAGAAGTATCTATTTTTCTAGAGAAAAAAACTGTTATAGAATTTTTTGATGTTCACAGAGAAAAAAGATGGTTTTTGCTTAAAAATAAGAATTTGTTTGTTGTTCAAGAAATATAGGTAGTTTGTTTTAACTTTAATAAAATATATTTTAAATAGAAAACAATGTGTATTATTACAATTTTTTTTCGTAGATAGAAAACAAGTTTTATAAAAAAAGTAGCAATAATTTAAAAATGTTTGATTCTTTCAGAAAATGCCCAAAAGAGAATATGGAAAATGGTCCATGGACGACTTGAAAAATGCAATAATAGAATATCAAAATGGAAATATTGGCTTTAATTAATGTTGATGTAAATATGAAATTCCTAAACCAACATTTAGAAGACACCTTTTAAAACAAGTTAAAAGAGGTGAAAAAGATCCACAACAGAACAAAAAGCGAATCAACGAAAGAATACCTGCACTTCCCGAAGAGTTAGAACAAGAGTTGGTATCTCATATCTTAAAGTTCGAAGAATTTCTCTTTGGACTCACCATCACAGACGTACGCAAGCTGGCTTATGATTTAATGGCAGCCTGTACAAATCTACCAAATCCTTTTAATAATAAGAAGAAAATTGCTGGTGAGAAATGGTATTATAATTTTATGTCCAGGCACCCCGAGCTTAGGTTACGTCAACCACACAACATTTCGATTGCGCTCTCTAAAGGATTCAGTAAGACCAATGTGCATGAATTTTTCGATGTGTTGCAAAAGATTGTTGACGAAAATGGAAGAGACGCTTTTCACATTTACAACGTCGACGAATCAGGTTTTTCGACGGTACAAAAAAAATCACCAAAAGTCTTGGCTCTTAAAGGAAAACATCAAGTTGGTTTTATTGCCAGTGGAGAACGAGGCATTAATACAACGTTGGTATGTTGCTGCAATGCCGCAGGTACCTATGTTCCTCCCATGTTCATATTCAAAAGACAACGTATGCACGCATCACTCAAAAATCGAGCCTTTCCTGGTAGTATTGTGCATTCCAGCGAAAGCGGTTACATTAACTCAGAGTTATTTGTTGAATGGTTGCAACATTTCATTAAAGTAAAAATGAAAAATGAATAATTTGGCACGATGGACACTACTCATTCTGAAAACTTAGAGGCCATAATATTAGCTAGAGAAAATGGCATAATATTACTGCAACTTCCGGGGCATACGATCCATAGGTTGTAGCCTCTAGATGTTGGAGTTTTTAAGTCCGTGGAGTCAAGCTACATGCAGGTCATAGCAAACTGGCTTCGGACAAATGTTGGTCACCAGGTAACACAGTCTGAAGTAGCTGCTTTGTTAACAGAAGCTTACATAAACTCTGCAACAACAAGTAATGCCGTAAATAGATTTAGAGCTTCGGAGGTATGGCCTGTAAACCGAAATGTTCTTTCTGACACAGATTTTGTGGCAAGTGAAAACCTACTGATCCCAGACACTGTTGAATCCGAGAAGGAAGATACTCCTAGCGAAGTTACAGATGTCGCAAATGAAAATCAAGCCAATCTTGTCCAGGAAGTTCCGATCCCATCAACAAGAAGACTAACACAAGAAGAAAAAATTAGACCACATAAAGATAGTAAGATTGTTTTAATTGAAGAAATAAGTCCACTACCAAAACCAAAAAGTGTCAAAAAATTGGGTGAAAAGGCCAAAAAGGCTACACAAAAAGTGGCAATACTGACAGAAAGCCCTTATAAAAATGAGCTGGAGGAAAAATTTGCTTTAAAGGCACGAAAAAATGAAATGAAGGAGGCTGAAGAGACTGCCAAAAAAGATATTTTTCAAACCGAAAAGTCAAAACAAAATACTAAAAAAACTAAGCCTTCTAATAAAGAAGATAAAATTATAATCGAGACTAATGCAGATGACTGGTTTTGCACAATATACCAAGAGTCTATAGTTGAAGATTTGACAAAGTGCAACAAATGTGAAACATGCGTACATGAGATGTGTTCTGACTTATCACGATTTACGGGCGACTTCTGTCTTTAAACTTATTTTTATAATTTAAAATGTTCCTTTTATCTAAATTACTTAGTAAAACTACTGATTTTGTATATATATATATATATTTAGTTTGTTTTTGTGAGCGTGATGGTACGATTTAGGAACCCGGTAGTACGATTTAAGCAACTCGTTGCCTAAATCGAACCTCTTGTAACCTCTTACAAAAACTCTTGTTTATTAAGAGTTGAATAAAATAATAAACTTACTTTAAAAATTGTAACAAAATCAACTAGGACTAACAGTTCTTGAGAAAAAAAAAATAAAAACCAAAAAGTGGTACGATATATGCAACCTTACCTTATTTCAATAATTGCTGGGTGATTTTAACGAAAGTTTGTCAACAGCTGGTACTACATAGAATGTCTCAACCAATGTTATTTAGACTTACGATAAATCAGTCTTTACAAAGCCAATCATCATATGGGTATTTTAGAAAGTTTGAAAATAAAACACTAATCTATTATGAATTTGAGTTCAATGTGAACGAGAGAGAAGTGTGCATAGACACATACATATGTCAATATGTTACACCAGTTCCTTGAATTAAGATGCATGTTAAAAATATGAATTAGTTTATTCTCCATGCCCAAACAATGGTTTTACTTTGAGCGTACCCATTTTTGAATTGTGAATTGTTATTTGAAAACCTAGGGATTCCGTCTATTTTCTGAGCTATTTATAAAACTGTTGTAGGAGACATATTTTGACAATTTATTGTTGACTAGAACATAATGAGAATATGTTAATAAATGATGGAATTGTAATTGGTTGGTTACTAATATGAAACTCCTCTATTTCATAGGGTGTTCTAGCAGCAGTTCCCCTGGCATACGTGCTCCCCGCAGTTTGCTATCTCCAACTTGAAGAAGGACTAATATTTTGTAGGAGAAAGCTTCCAGCTTTGGGATTGGCAATTTTTGGTTTAGCGGTGGCCATTTTGGGTGTGATATTTCTCTTTATTGATATAGATAAAGTTAACACTTGTTCAAAAGGCGTTGAAATGGATTATTGCAAAAACGTCACCATTGCCAATTAGTCGTTGGTAAATGAAATATTATTCATATACCTGTGAGGACCAGTTTTCAGATATCTTTCTCGAAAATGAGATAGGGTGTATATGTAGCATACTTCATATTAAATACAAGACTATTGGAGAAAAAATGAATATTTTAGGACACACTCTGATGTATAACCTCCAGCCTTACACAGGTCTGCTGTAAAGGTGGTAGTTGCTATTTGAATTTACAGACTTGACTTTCAAATGACCCCTGATTTGATTATCTAGGTGATGTTTGAATCAATCGACAAATTGCATTTTTGGATATTCCGAACCCTCTGTTAGACCCTTTTTCCACAAAATACGTGCCAGATCTCTGGTGTGATCCAAATTTCAGGCAATATTATACCGATTTGGTTGAAAATTTGCATGATAACCAAGTTTCCTACGAGTAACCTAAAACTATACAGATGTTTGAAAAATCCATGGCTAGACTCGAAGAAGAAAAGAAAAAAGATATAGCTAAGAGGAAAATTTATTCTTTTGCGCCCAATTTGCTACTTTCGGTAACTCTTTGGCTCTTTCTGTATATAGTCAAACATTTTGATATTCACCTTAAACAGTGTTGATTTTGACAAAAAGCAAGAAAGTGAAAAAAAAACTAGTCCGGTCATCGATTTTTTAACAGCCTGTCTGGTTTTACGTAATTCCCAGGCAACTTTGTTAGCCTGCAAGATTTCATTAAAATCGGTTCAATAGTGCCTTAGATACTTAGTGTTGAAGACTCGTGTGTTTAGATGAAAAATGAATTTGGAACATCTTCCTTTTCAGATATGAAAAAGTCTCGGTCCATGACCTACCATTTCAGTATCTCCATTTAAGTAAGGAATGCCGCGTATAAAATTGATGCCTGTATATTGTAAAGATACCCTCTGTTTCTGAAAAACGGTAGTGTTAGCGTAAAAGTATTAGTAGATTTTGACAATACGTATGTCTTTCATAGATAATCAGTAGTATTCCTAAAAGTCTCTGAGCCTGAGCATCGTGAATAATTTTAACTTCTGAAACCTGGTCCCCAAGTAATCAAAAGGACACAATCTGTAGTGCAACTAAATCACATTTTGCAAACTGATAATTTTATTATTGCTGAAAATCTTCGAAAGTATTTAGACCAAAATCAGTATAGTACGAATAATTATTAATTATTATCCTGTATCAACAATTCCATAAATTACTTATCACTATAAGTTCTTGAGCATGTGCAACTTCTCCTACAAATTGATCGAGACAATATGTCTAAGCCTCTTCCCTAAACACTTTATTAGAGAAAAAGAGAAGATCATATTAAGGGTGTATTCAGAGAATTTTCTGAAATGATCTTTTTTCGTTTATTTTTTTTGGTTTCAGAACTCGTCATGTACACAGTCCGCACATTTATCAATAAATATTTGCGTTTCCGAAAGCATAAGTATTCTTATCAAAGTATATCCATAAATGTTATTAGCAAATTAGGGAACCAAAGTAATTAGATAGAATATGAATAAAATAATATTATTTTTTTAAATAAGCTTAATTCACGATTGACAAGTTTCAGCACCATTTACAGTTTGATAATTTGTATTTACCATATTTTTATGACAATAATTCTATGACCTGCATTTATTTTATGTCTTTGACCTTGTACGAGTACAGGTACTCCTTGAAATTGCCTAATTTTGGATCTATACGTTTCTAGCTCTAGTTTTGGCAAAAATTTCTCTCGTATTTTTCTGCTTTAGTACCCAACATGTATAGTCGCGCCAAAAATATGTGATCAAGGTATGTTTATACAATTTAACATGTATATTATTGAGAACAGAGTTCTAATTATTAAACAGGGAACATCGGTTTTACTTCGAGAGTACACAGTTTGTTACCACTGTCTATCCTAGTGATGAAACCTGACGTATGATTCGAATTGTCAGTAATGTTACTTAAAAAATACCCTACAGCCTATGATGCAAAACGATCAACTTGATTTATACAATACTAGTGGTAACATACTGCATGTAATTATCTAGGTATCTCTTGAAATTTTGAAAGATGCTGTAAAATATTTATACATAGGTAGTTAGAAATATTGAACATAATAATACGTATTTAGATAGATTGGTCAAGTTTCAGCTGTCTGTCATTTTAAGAGTTATCGCGAAAACGTTTCATACGATATGGTTCTACTGGTTATCTAATAGGGCCCTTAGAAAACTACATCGTTTTGAGGAAAATGGTTTTATAGCGCTTATCAGGCGTATGAACTTGACACAACTTCAGGGATTGCTTTTCCTGTGTGAAGTGTGAGACTTCCTGGAAACTGTCGTACTGGAAGGTTTATATTTAGATTAGATACAAACAGAACCATCTTGTTCTAACGTCATTCCATATCCGTTACGTTTTTTGACTTTGCAGCTGGCTTGACCGTAACATAGTAAATAAAACTCAGCCAAACTTATTTACTAAAAATAAATTCATACATATGTATCTATTCGCCACGGTGTATTTTCAACAAACGATAACTGACATTTTTGTAAATGGCGTCAGCAATAATTAATATTCCAAACATAATTTTTTGGGATTTGTTAGGAAGCCTAGATTTGTCGAAAATCCATCTTGATTGAGATTAGATAGTACTGTTAAATGTTAATGTTTTCTATGATAACTATAACATTGTTATTGACTAAGAAGGTATTGTTAACATTGGATGAATTAAATATTTAAGTTGTTAAGAAAGATGACAGGAAGACAGATGAAACCAAGGCAGAAGATTGTTTTAATATCTAATCTATGGAAAAGAATACAGCGCATTCCGCCATCAATTACCAGAATCGAGTACTGCAACTAACGACTTCACAGTTGATGTATAGCTACTATACACTCCCTTAGTGGTTTATTCTGGTAACAGATGGCGCTTTGAGCTGACTTATTTCGATAAACCTTATATCTTGGATAGAGGCTAGCTTTCGTTTGTTTTCACAAAGATCAAGCCTAGACTATCCTGATGAGTTATCAAACAGCAGCTGTCTTTGGCCAGATGGTCGAAAGCAGCATGTATAGACATACTATATATATTGACAGGAGTCTGTCACTTATGACAAAGATACTCCAACTGCTATACTTTTGACTCATAAAATATGAGTCACTTGTCATCTTATTTCATTATTTGATTAATACATATATAATACCAGATATTTTGCATTCAGCAGTTGCTTAGAATAGCTTACCAATAGTTTATTCGCATTGCAACTGTTTGGGGCACATACACGAATCAGATGAAGGCATATGCGGGTGTAAGAAAGGTGTTCACAGTCAGAAATGGAGGAAACCTGATATGAACATCTGACTTTATACTTTATTCCAATACAATTATTGGAAACCTGCCTCAGAAGTTAGATTAAGTAAACGAGTGTTCCATACCTAAGTCTGACTACTCTTTCTCTAGTCTGATAAAATGCGTCTTCTGCTTGTTGAGTTTATTATTAGTTGATAATTGCGTTGATATCGTAATATAGCAGATGCATTTCAATGTGCATTTATACAGAATGTACAGACTTCAACTGGACCCCCTTTAAAAATATTGCCAGCATATATTTATGTATCTGTACATATCACATGCACTTTATTACGTGTCGATTACTCAAACATCCATATTTGATTATTGGAAAATATAAGAACATTATATGTAGATATAATACTTTTGTCTATACATACGGTATCTGCGGAATTTTCTTTGTATATCCGATGGAAATGATATAATTATATGTAAAAATTATATGTAAATATGGAGAATATTTATTATCTTGAAAAGAAGTTGTGGAACAAAGGCAGTATTCTTTTTTACCAAACTTTTCCATAACTCTTATAGTATGGGAGAAACTAAAATACTCATGTTAGTTCCGTAATGCTCAACATACTGTAGATTCTGTGAACTTTGACTTTGTTAACAGTAGAGGTCGTGGTAGATTACTCAAAAAACACTCTGCTAGGGTTTGCATTCATGTGGAATAAGCGGAATAAGTAACCATCTTCTGGACTTCCGACAGATAGGCTCAACTTAAAAATAACATATTTTGGTTTCTCTCCCTTCGAAACTCTTTGAAGTCTATTGCACCACATTGTCGCCAACCTCTAACGTTAATGCACCAGTTTGTGATGTTATTGTGACTTTACATTATTATAAACTAAAACAAATAAATGGTATATATTTCAATAAACCCTGTTTCAATAACACAACATGCCACTATCATTGACATACCTACATTGTATATTGCTTACCAAAGTCGATCATTCCAAGAAATACATGACGTGACTATGTTTGGGTTTAGTGTCTTCATTCGATGTATAGATGTCGGTTTTGCCAACACTAGTAATAAGGGTTTGTCACCCAAGAGGGAAGTACCGAAGTGGAAGTCACTCAGTTCGGAATCTGTAACTGTGACTGAAAAACAAATTTTCCACGTTTTGCTTAACCCATCTTGTTGATCTACAAATTACGTTAGACAGTATCAGGTATGTCAAAGTATTTTCTCAAATTTCAATATTCACCCAAGTAGGTAGGTATACACTAATACTGGTATAAGGTATGAATTATCATTTATTTTTTTCTGCGAAAATCTAAAGTATTCCTTAGTATTTATGAGCATTTAAGGGTTCGTCTGGTAACATTGCAATGCTCGCAAGGGCACAGGAGCTCCAAAAGAAATATAGCCCAGGTGGTGTACTCATAACTGCTCGGAAAAATATTCTGATAAGGTTTTTTGCTCAATCGGATTCAATTTCATTTTTAACGAGTCTGCGTGTTACCAAGCCCAAAATTGCGTCCAAAATTTTTCTCTAATGTCGACCATTTTCGAGAAGTAGGCAATTTAATATCTGACAAACCATAAACATGAATATCTTCAATGATTAAAAACTCAGTGAAAATTTATAATTTTTGAGTTTGTCAAGTATCTAAGTGAAAGTTCAAACTTTCCCTTATAAGAATGAGACCCTGAGGAGTTTTTTGAAGCAAATTTAACCTTGTTTGGTACGCCAAAATTGGGGAACATTTGATTTTCGCAGACTGTACACACTTTGTTTTCACAATTTTTTAAAAGCAAAGTCTAATGCAAATCCCAATGACAACGAACAAAGACCAAGAAGTGAAGCGACCGATATCATCCTACAATTAATTATACAGTTTTCTTTTTCATGGCATTTTTTTTCAAGAAAACGTAGCAATAGCGAATGATCAGTAAGATGAGCGAAATGACTAACTAAGATTTTGTCAAGCACGAAGGCCCGTATCGTCAGTCGTCCCTACAATTGTAGGGCGCCTCGATGGCCTCCTTGATTGTCATAGTTTTCTACTTCTCCGTGTCAGCGGTCTATTTTGAGGTTATGTCACAAACATCTATTTGCATCAAATTGTGCTTGCTTTTGAGTTATATCATGTTTTATCAGCCTGAAAGTTCCTACAATTTGAAAAGAAAACATATATTCACAATAGGAGAGCGCTGACGCTGACACGGGACAAGTGTAATCTAGAAATTTTTGAAGGAGAGAAAGGAGTATGACAATCAAGGAGGCCATGAACGCGCCCTACAATTGTAGGGTGGACTGACGATAAGGGCCTAAGAATTTTTTTGGAATTGTCCCTCTCATGGGTGAAATAAGACATGGAAAAATGTATAATACTTTTAATTCTTTCGATGGATTTACACGAAATTTTGATACAAACAGTGGAATACGTAATCCAACATTTTTGTGAATTTATTACCAAAAGGGTTTGGAAACTTTTTATGTTTCCAATTGATCCTCTTGAAATTTTGCACAAATATAGATGAAATGTGTGATTGTCCAAAATAGTCCTTCAAGAGTGAAATAAGGGTTTAAATTATGTGGAGCACTAACATTTTTTTTTAAATTCAGTTGCACCTGAATTAAAATTCAAATGACTCACATCATAAATGTGTTCAGAAGGAATTAAACAAAGTGAAACATTTCTACCTCTAATTTTAACCTCTTAAGGGTTGAATTTTCAAAAATGCTGGATTATATCAGTTTGTGCTATTGAGTATATTTGCAAAGTCGCGTTTGTTTTACATGCAACTTCAGATACTCCCACGTGAGATTTTCACACCTACCTCAGCTAAGTGAGATTTGCAGCTTTTAGCCTACGTTTATTTTTTTTATGTGCAAAATAAACCGAGTTATTTTTAACTTTGCGTATAATTGCTGCTCATAAGAAGTGCCGAAGTGAAAAGCTCATGAGCTATCAGTCGGTTTGGCGAATATCATTTAGATTTTTCCTTCAAGGAAACTTAACCTAATTGTGTCACAGTCCACAGAACAACTAGAAGCTCAAGATCTTTTATACGCTGACTCCTCTACCTTCCTTCTGTAATTGTTATCCTCTGTTTGTAATATTAAGGCTTTCTCCCATTTAACCCTATGCCCCGTTTCCCATACACGCTTGTTTACAGAGCTGATTTTGACGTTTATTTCTTTCTTTATAGTCTTTATGTTATTTAATTCTACACTTAACAGGTCTCGAGATTACATCAATGTAGCATTTACCACAGTTACATTCTATATTATTTACTATTGCATTTTCTGTGTCTATACTTTCGTTCGATTCTTCCAAACAAAGAGCTCCTATGAATATGAAAATTACAGGACAGGCTTTAGGAGTTACTTTATCAGGAGGTCTTGACCTTTATCTTGACCCTCATCTTCAAATCGTGTATAAAAGAAGAAAGTCATATTGGGTTCAATGGTGGTCGATCCGGTGTTGGCAAAGAGGATTAAGGGTGATTGGATGATTTTATGGAAAATTTACGTGGCATTAATTTTTTTAATCATCCAGCAATTTCAGCACAGATTGTACCAAGATTGATAGAAGCTTAGTTGGTATCAGAACAAATCACGTCTTTATAAAATGATATAGGATTTCATGATTATGTGAAAAAGGTGTCGATTAAAATTAAGCATGTGTAAAAAACAAAAAGTAATTGTTACAATTATTTTAATTGAGATGCAACCAACAGAGATGCGCGTATAATTGCAATTTTTCTATCCTATTTCTAGAATATTCTATAAATGATAACGAAATTACATCACACAACGCGTTGTTAAGTACTTACCTTTTCCTGCAAATATGAATCTTAGGTGATGCGAAAATAATTCCGTATTCCTAATAATTATAACATGTAAGTAATAGCTAGAACGCTTTGTTCTCATCTAGATATCGAGGCAATAAGATGGATTTATGATGGCTAATCGTTTTGTCTATATTTGAGTGAAGACTTCTAACACTCATCGACCTCTATGTCCGGAATTGACCCTCCCTCTAACATTTTTATATGCCTGTCTAGAAGAAAAAGTTGTGTATAAAAATTACAGGGGTTGCAGAAGCTCATGATCATTTTCAGACAATTTTTTGTAGGGGTTAAAACTTGAGGTTGGAGGTTGAAAGGGGTGGAAGATGGTCTATCTCAATTTTTTTTGGTATTTAAGCGCTCCCAATTCCGGTAACTCTACGCACCTATTAGCTTACACCAGACATCCTGGATTTTCCCGTACGTTTGCCTTTAAAGCTTAAAATGATACTGACATGTTTTCGATACGCATCTCAGTTTCTGCTCTTTGCGTTCATCGGCAGGCGTGCTGGTCTTGTTCGCTTATACCAGTGCTGCAAGGGCCCAAAGTTTTTCCACAAGTTGGTTCAGAGATAGGGATCCCAAATGTAGGAGTCCGCATCCTACAACAGCGTATTGTTGGATCGGTACACGATGTCTAATAGTTCTCTGATACTTATTCATAATCTCGTCATCCTTACTGCTCGGTTTAGCAACATTGCAATTCACATGTAGGAGTACTGCTCCAAGTCACAAACTTTTTCAAAAACTGTACAGGATTATTCTGCACCTTCCGTGTGGTAAAGCTTCCCAGAAATAGTCAGGACTAATGACCTGGAGAACAAAAGTGTCTTTACGACAGATACATATGCTTTTTTACATGCTGTAGAATACGTAATTTTCTATCAAACATATATGAGAGTCTTCAGTAGCTATCTAGTTTACCCATTCTTCCAATTGCTCTCATTATTTGTAAGTTTTTTTAAATACTTAGCCGTATGTGTGTGTAGCAGAGTTAGGGAAATGCGTTTAACACTTTATCAGCAACTGTTTGATGTCATTGGCAAGTCCAATATTGTAAATACATCGCGCAGAACAGGAAAAACGTCTTCGTTGTTGAAAAGTATTATAGTCCCAGTATCTAAAACAAACAATCGACGTGAGCCAGAAGACTTGCGACCCATAAATCTTATGCCGGTCGTCGAGAAGATTATAGAAATAACAGTGCATGAATGGCTGAGTGAGCATCTACGTGTGAATGGTGTTCTTTTTGAGAGGCAATCCGGGTTCAGAAGGAATCATTCTTGTGAAACTGCATGCCGATTTAAAAGTGGTAAAAAGATGTAGATGATGGTGAAGTGATTGTGTGTGCCTGTTGACCTAAAAAGAGCGTTTGAAACTATTGATAGGAAACTGTTGTTGAGACAATGTGTAATGTATGGAATTAAGGGTACAGCCCTCTTGTGGGTGGGGATTATTTATCTGAGCGGTTACAAGTGGCAAAATTGAAAGTAAAATATCAAGTAATGTTTCTGCTGTTCATGGAGAACCTCAAGGCCGCGTACTAGGCCCACTGCCGCTTATTCTATATGTCAATGAAATGTCCAATGTCCTTAATTTATTAATTTGTTTGCGGATGATACATTAATTTGAGTTAGTGGTTCAGTAAGTAACGAAATTGTAGATATAATGAATAGCGAAATGAGCAAACTTACTTTACGGTCAAAAACAAACAAGATTAAATTAAATGTGAGATAACGGGAATGTATGATCATATTTTCGAAAAAAGATTGTAAGAAATTGGTAGACTTAAATACGCCAGTGAAAATTGAGGGCGGGGTACTTGATTTTGGAGAGTATTATAATAGATCAGCAACTAACTTTCAACAAACATGTTGACTATATGTGTCGGAAACTAGGCAAACAGATCGGGTATTTTCGTATAATTTGTGCGAATCTAAGTTCCTGGTGCAGAAAAGTTGTTTACAATACGATAATTATTCCTCATTTTTCTTTTAGTACATCACTTTTGATTACATGCACAAATAAGCAAAGGCAAATGTTACAATTCAATTAAATAAATGTGTTCGGATTTTGT